CATCAAAGTCTGTCACATCATTTGGGGCAGGGTCTAGGCCCTCCCCCATGTGTCTAGGCTGAGAGAGTATCCCTCTATGGGGAATGGGCTCCCAGTGTCCATTCTACACTAGGGATAAATACTGTTCTACTACCAGAAGCCCCATAGACTGCCCAGGTCTCATAACTGACACCCATGTTCAGGGGGCCTGGTTCTGTTCTATGTTGGTTTCTGAGCTGTCAGTCTGGGGTCCATGAGCTCCCCTGTGTTCATGTCAGTTGTTTCTGTGGGTTTCCCAAGCCTGGTCTTGACCCCTTTGTTCATCACTCCTCCCTCTCTGCAACTGGATTCCAGGAATTTGGCTCAGTGCTTAGCTGTGGGTCTCTGCTTCTACTTCCATCAGCTACTGGATGAAGGTGTAATTTTATTAATCCATTTTCAGAAACAGGGAAATAGTTGTAAGGCTCATCTTTGAGAATTTTTTAAATTGAAAATAGATTTTCTTCATGCAGTATATTCTGATTATGGTTGTCTTTCCCCCAAATCTTCCTGGATTCTTTCTTCTTTCCCACCCATCCAAATCTATACCCTTTTCTTTTTCTCTCTTATTAGAATACAAACAGGCACCTAAAATAATAAAAGCAAAAACAAACAAACATGAATATGATCACAAAATGAAATTGGAAACCATCATAGATATGAAAAAAATTCCCAGACAAAGCATTGTAAGACAAAACAAGACAAAACAAACAATGCCCCAAACAAACAAGAACAAAAATACCCCCCCTCCCACCCGCCAATATCATTGAGTTCATTTTCTGTTGGCCATTTACTATTGGGCATGGGGCCTGCACTTAATTGTGCTTTGTGTACCCAGTAAGACTGTGTTAGAAACAATGAATTTTTTCTTTGTGTGTGGTTATCAATTGGAGATAGCTTCTGGGCTAGGGATGGGGGCTTCTGTCTACTACTCCTCTCAGCATGGAGACCCCCATCTAGCTTAGACTCCATCTGTACTTGCTGCCTAAGTCTCTGTGAGTTCATATGTGCATCAGTTCTATTGTGTCTAGAGGCTTTGTTTCCCTGGTGTCTTCCATCCCCATGGCTCTTGCAATCTTTCCATCTCCTTTTCCGAAGAGTTCCCTGAGGCCTCAGGGAAGAGAATTGATGGAGACATGGCATTACAGACTGACTGTTTCAAGGTTTCTCACTCTCTTGTACAATGTCAAGCTGTGGGTCTCTATGTTTGTTCCCATCTACTGCAGCTTCTCTGATGATGCCTGAACAGGATACTGATCTACAGGTACAGCAGAATGTTCTTAGAAGTCATTTTATTGCTACATTCCATTCAAACAAGTATTTGATTTCCCGCTAGGTCCATGACAATCTAGCCTTGGGCTCTTGGCCACCTAGGCATTGCCAGGCATGGATTCCAATTATGTAGTGGTTGGTTACTTCCACAACTTTTGTGACACTATTGTACTAGTGTATCTTGCAGGCAGGTCACTGTTACAGATCAAAGGGTTTGTAGCTGGATTAGTGTTTGCCTTTATCCTCTAAACTGTGAAAAGTACCATACTGTGAACACTAATTACTAGGGGTGAAGGCTCTAGGTTTGACTTCTCCATGTTTACTGTGTTATGTAGATGTTGTCTTTAGCAGTTGGGTCTTACCTTCAGTTTGTAGAGTGCAACTAATAGCCATAATCAATGATCAGGATTAAGATGGCTACTTGGAACTCCCACTTGTTTATGTGTTCACTCATGCAGTATTACTCTTTGGACATTTACTCTATGCCAGACCTTTTTGCTATATTTTGATGGTAAACACAAAGATGAAACATGGTTCCTGGTTAAATCAACCAGGGGTAGTAGAAGGTATAGATAGTAGCAATTATAAAACAGGCAGTTGGCATCATGACAAGGGAAGTGGAAGATGCTTTGGAGAACAATGGAAAGAACCTCAGCAGTCTTCTGAAAGATGTATCACGTAGCAAACTGAGAACTTGAACAAGTATAGAAATCAACCAAGAAAAGGGTTGGGTGAAAAATATGTCCTGGATACTACCGGATATATCAGGACTTTTGCTCTTGAACCTTTGCTCTCCTTGTCTGAAAGAAACAGGTGCAAGCCTTTCCTGAGAGTGGTATGAACTCACATGTTATTGCTCCACAGAAAATTTAGCTCTGTGGCAGCAGAGTTAATGATTTTAAGTGTATCCTGATGTACCTTTTTTTCTTATATAAGGATGGAGGTTGTCACGTGTTATTTAGCTATACCTCCCTGAGCATTCATATTGACAAAACCTGTATCCAATGACACTTATTTCCAGGTGTGCTATGATGATATTTAGGTTTGGTTTCCCCAGAATTAGTCAAGGATTCAAATGCAACTAACTGGAAGATGGATAGAGTGTGGAGGGGAAAGTAGTATAAGGAAGAGCAGTCAGGTCCTTAACTCAAATGACCAACTCAGCTTGCACAGTAGGCAACTGTTGTTTAGTCAGTGTTCTGGAGAATACCAAAAACAAATGTTCCAGCATTTTTTTAATGTCTCCCTCTATTATGGTATCTCCATTCTTGTTATTTTCTATGCTTCCCCCTACTCAACTTTTCTGCTCCCTCATGTCCTCCTCACCCCCCTTCTCCCCTTCTCATTCTCCTAGCTCCCCCCCTTCCCATGCTCCCAATTTGCTCAGGAGATCTTGTCCCTTTCCCCTTCTCTGGGGGACCATGTATGTCCACAGCAACTCTTATAATGGAAAATAATTGATTGGGGTTGGCTTACAGTTCACAGGTGTAGTCTATTATCATCATGGTCAGAAACATGGCAGCATGTAGGCATGGTGTTAGAGAAGGAGCTGAGAGGTCTACATCTAGATTTGTAGGCATCAGGAAGGGACAGTGAGCAGCTAAGCCTGGCTTGAGCATCTGAAATCTCAAAGCCCACCCCCAGTGATCACATACTTCAACAATGTCACACTTACTCCAACAAGGCCACACCTTCTAACCACTCCCTATGGGCCTAAGGGGACCATTTTTATTCAAACCATCATAGGTGGTTAAGGAAGTGGGGTGGATCTGAGGGGAATTGGGGGAAGTGTATGAAAATGATCAGAACGCATCGAATGAAAATTTCAAAGACCTAATACAAAAACTCCAAATAATCACATATAGATTCTGATGTAGCCATAATAACTCATCCTTCCAGTTGGGCTACAAATCCTTTTGGTTCTTGAAGCTTTGTAGTTCCACTCAGATGATTTTACTCTCATCACTTTGGTATACATAGAAAGGATTTAACATTTAAAAGCATGAGTTTGATTATTTTCCTTTGAGAGGAAAATGAAGGGTCTTGAGGCATCAGCTATAGGTTTGAGGACATGCTTCGACATTTGCTAGCAGTGGGTCTTGGATGAACCATAAATCTTTATGGATCTGTTTTCTCACCAGTAGAACCTCTAACTCTTGAGGCTTCTATGAAAGTCACATTTAACAACAAACGCCAATGTTCTTCTGACAAAAAGGCCCTTAATAAGAATTTGCTATGAGGGTTATTTCTACTTGAAACTTTCTAGGAAGCCTAAATGACACCGTCTGGTTTATGTGTCACAGCTGTTCTGGTACTGTTTCCTTCATATGGGTGA